GCCACTCGAGCCACGACGACTCGTCGTCCGGCGGGGTCAGCAGCCACGAGGGCACCATGGAGCGCCACAAGGCGGGTACGGAATGTCGGGATGGCCCGGGATGGCCCCCCCCGGGTCCGGGGTTATCCCGGTGACGTGGCACCTCCGGAATTGCAGAGCCCCTCTGGCACGTCCCGGCACAGCCCCGGCTGCCCGGCGGGAAGCGCCCGGGCCGGCAGGAGCCCGGCGGGAAGGATTCCCCAAACAGGCATTCCAAGGTCAGCGGGGAACAGCAGGGAGTCTGGGAACAGCAGGGATTTTGGGAGCAGCAGGGAATTCTGGGAGCAGCAGGAATTCTGGGAGCAGCAGGGATTTTGGGAACAGCAGGGATTTTAGGAACAGCAGGGATTTTGGGAACAGCAGGGAATTCTGGGAGCAGCAGGGATTTTGGGAACAGCAGGGATTTTGGGAGCAGCAGGGATTCTGGGAGCAGCAGGAAATCTGGGAACAGCAGGGAATCTGGGAACAGCAGGGATTTTGGGAACAGCAGGGAATCTGGGAACAGCAGGGATTTTGGGAACAGCAGGGATTTTGGGAGCAGCAGGGAATTCTGGGAGCAGCAGGAAATCTGGGAGCAGCAGGGAGTCTGGGAACAGCAGGGATTCTGGGAGCAGCAGGGGTCCTGGGAACAGCAGGAAATCTTGGGAACAGCAGGGATTTGGGGAACAGCAGGGATTCTGGGAGCAGCAGGGAATCTGGGAGCAGCAGGGAATCTGGGAACAGCAGGGATTCTGGGAGCAGCAGGGATTTTGGGAACAGCAGGGATTTGGGGAACAGCAGGGAATCTGGGAACAGCAGGGATTTTGGGAACAGCAGGAAATCTGGGAACAGCAGGGATTTGGGGAACAGCAGGGAATCTGGGAACAGCAGGGATTTGGGGAACAGCAGGAAATCTGGGAGCAGCAGGGAATCTGGGAACAGCAGGGAATCTGGGAACAGCAGGGATTTTGGGAACAGCAGGAAATCTGGGAGCAGCAGGGAATCTGGGAACAGCAGGGAATCTGGGAACAGCAGGGAATCTGGGAACAGCAGGGATTTTGGGAGCAGCAGGGATTTTGGGATCACCAGGGATTCTGGGACCACCAAGAGATTCCAAAAGCACCAGGGATTTTGGGAGCACCAAGGATCCTGGGACCACCAGGGATTTTGGGAACACCAGGGGTCCTGGGAACAGCAGGGATTTTGGGAACAGCAGGGATTTTGGGAACAGCAGGGATTCTGGGAACACCAGGGATTCTGGGACCACCAAGAGATTCCAAAAGCACCAGGGAGTTTGGGAGCACCAGGGATCCCGGGAACAACAGGGATTCTGGGAACAGCAGGGATTTGGGGAGCACCAGGGATCCTGGGAGCCCCAGGGATTCCAGAATCCCCAGGGATTCCAGGGTCCCCAGGGATTCCAGGACCCTCAGGAATTCCAGAGTCCCCAGGGATTTTGGGAGCCCCAGGAATTTCAGGGTCCCCAGGGATTCCAGGACCACCAGGAATTTTGGTAACACCAGGGATCCTGGGAGCCCCAGGAATTCCAGGACCACCAGGAATTTTGGGAACATCAGGGATCCCAGGATTCCAAAAGCACCAGGGATTTTGGGAGCACCAGGGATCCTGGGAACAGCAGGGATCCTGGGACCACCAGGGATTTTGGGAGCACCAGGGATCCCAGGACCACCAGGGATTTTGGGGGCACCAGGGATTCCGGGAGCCCCAGGGAACCACCAGGGGATTCTAAAAGCACCAGGGATTCCAGGACCCCCAGGGATTCCAGGACCCCCAGGGATTCCAGGACCACCAGGGATCCTGGGAGTACCAGGAATTCCAGGATCCCCAGGGATTTTGGGACCCCCAGGGATTTTGGGAGCCCCAGGGAACCACCAGGGGATTCTAAAAGCCCCAGGGATTCCAGAATCCCCAGGGATTCCGGGACCCCCAGGAATTCCAGGACCCCCAGGGATTCCAGGACCACCAGGGATCCTGGGAGTACCAGGAATTCCAGGATCCCCAGGGATTTGGCCTCCCCAAGGGATTTTTGGAGCCCCAAGGGAAACCACAGGGGACTAAAAGCCCCAGGGATTCGCAGAATCCCCAGGGATTCCCGGACCCCAGGAATTCCGAGCCTCGCTGTCCGGGGCTCATCCGCCTCCCCCCCATATGCCTGCCCGGTTGTCCAGGCGGGAAAGAGCCGCCGTTCCAGCCATTCAAGCACCACCACCCCTGTCCAGCACCGCCTCCAGCGACGAGCGAATTGGTTCGACCCCCCCGAGCCCGGCCCCGGCTTGTGACCGCCGACCCCGAGCCCGGGGCCAGGGGGGGCTCTCGGCGACAGCGGCTGACGCCCTCCCCCAAACCGCCCCTCCCGGGACAGGATCCCAAATCCGCACCAAGCTTCGGAGGGGCCGATTCCCGGCGGAGCCGTCCGCCTCCTCACTCTCCTCCTCCTCCTCCTCCTCCTCCTCCCGGCTCCTCCGCCGGGAAAAGCTGCTCCCGGCAGAAAACCGGGAATGCCGGCGCCGCTCCCGACCCCGCCTGCAAGGCCAGGTGGGCGTCGTGACCCTCGTGTTTGTCCTGATCCCCTCTTTGAACCCCCAGATTGCCCAAAACACCCCCAATTCCCTCCGAAATCCCCCCAATTACCCTCCGAAATCCCCGCCAAATTCCCTCCGAGAACCCCGCCGACCAAAACACCCCCAATTCCTCCTAAATCGCTCCCATTCCCTCACTGATCCCCCCAAATTCCAAAACACGCCTAAATTCTCTGCCTAAATCGCCCCTTTGACCCACCCAAACCCCCAGTTTCCCTCCTATCCCCCTTTGACCCCACAGCCCACCATATTCCCTCCTAAATCCCCCCTTTGAACCCCCAAAATCTCCCAAAACACCTAATGCCCTCCTAAATCCCCCTTGACCCCCAAACTCCCAAATTCCAGTCCTAAATCCCCCCCAAACACCCCAATTCCCTCCTAAATCGCCCAATTCCCTCCGAAATCCCCCCAATGTCCCTCTGAAATCCCCAAATCCCCCCAAAACACCCTCCAATCCTCCGCAAATCCCCCAAACACCCCCAATTCCCTCGAATCCTAAAAAACACTCCCCAATTCCCTCCGAAATCCCCCCAAATTCCCTCCAAATCGCCCCCTTGACCCCCCAAATTCCCCAAAACACCCCCATTCCCGATCCGAATCCCCCAAATTCCTCCGAATCCCCTCCAAACACCGCCAAATTCCCCAAACACCCTCAGAATTCCCGTCCTAAATCGCCCCAAATTCCCTCCTGAATCCCCCCAATCCCCAAAACACCCGCCAAATTCCCTCCTAAAACACCCCAAATTCCCTCCTTAATCCCCCAAATTCCCTCCTAATCCCCCCAAACACCATATCCCTCCCTAAATCGCCCAATTCCCTTCCTGAATCCCCCAAATTCCCCAAAACATCCAAAATTCCCTCCTAAAATCCCCTCAAAATCCCCCCTAACCCCCAAATCCCCTCCTAAACCCCCCCACCCCTCCCTTGGGGTGTTGGGGAGGGTGGGAGGTGTCATTTTTTGGGAACCCCCCCTGCTGATACCCTCTTTTCCTGCACTCACCCCCGGCCCGTCCCCCTCGACCACCCCCAAATTTCCACCTCCGGCCCCAAATCCTTCTTCTCCAGGAGCCCCGGGAGGGGCAGAGCCACCACCCCGGCGTGGAAACGGCCCCAGGAGCCCCCCGAGCCCAAAAAGTGAGTGGGGCACCCCCAAAACGGGGGGCAGGACCCCAAAAAAGGGGGGCAAAGGGCATGGGAGCCAAAAAAGGGGGGCAGGATCCTAAAAAATGGGGGCAAAGGGCATGGGAACCGAAAAAGGGGGGGCAGGATCCTAAAAAAGGGGGGCAAAGGGCATGGGAACCGAAAAAGGGGGGGCAGGAACCTGAAAAAGGGGGGGCAGGACCCTAAAAAAGGGGGGCAGGACCCTAAAAAGGGGGGCAAAGTGCATGGGAACCGAAAAAGGGGGGCAGGAACCTGAAAAAGGGGGGGCAGGACCCTAAAAAAGGGGGTCAAGACCCTAAAAAAGGGGTTAAAGGGCACGGGAGTCCAAAAAAGGGGGGGTCAGAACCCTAAAAGGGGGTCAAGACCCTAAAAAAGGGGGGGCAGGACCCTAAAAAATGGGGTCAAAGGGCACAGGAGCCCAAAAAGGGAAGGCAGGACCCTGAAAAAGGGGGGCAGGACCCTAAAAAAGGGGGTTAAAGGGCAGAGGACCCGAAAAAGGGGGGTAGGACCCTTAAAAAGGGGGTTAAAGGGCACAGGACCCTAAAAAGGGTGTTAAAGGGTCAGGAGTCCTGAAAAGGGGGGGGCAGGACCCTAAAAAAAGGGGGTTAAAGGGCACAGGACCCTAAAAAGGAGCTCAGGAGCCCAAAAAAGGGGGGTAGGACCCTAAAAAGGGTGTTAAAGGGCACAGGAGCCCAAAAAAGGGGGGGCAGGACCCTAAAAAAGGGAGTTAAAGGGTCAGGACCCTAAAAAGGGGGGCAGGACCCCAAAAAAGGGGGTCAAAGGGCAGAGGAGCCCAAAAAGTGGGGCAGGACCCCAAAAAGGGGGATTTTGGGAGGCTTGAGGGATCCCTGTAGGATTTTATTTTCTTCTCTGGATTTGGGGGTTTTTTTGGGTTCCCCTCTGGATTGGGGGTTCTCCCATGGATTTGGGGTATCCCCCCTGGATTTTGGGATCCCCCACTCCCTGTTTCCCCCCTCCCAGGCAGGTGAAGGTGTTTGGGCAGCCCCATCTCCGGGACCTTCACTCCTGGGGTTTTTGGGTTCCCCTCTGGATTTTGGGGCTCCCTCTGGATTTGGGGTTTCTTAGGGGTTCCCCTCTGGATTTGGGGTGTCCCCCCTGGATTTTGGGATCCCCCACTCCCTGTTTTTCCCCCCTGCAGGCAGGTGAACGTGTTTGGGCAGCCCTGGCTCCGGGACCTTCACTCCTGGGGTTTTTGGGGTTCCCCTCAGGATTGGGGGATCCCTATGGGAATTGGGGTGTCCCCCCTGGATTTTGGGATCCCCCAACCCCTCTTTCCCCTTTCCCAGGCAGGTGAACGTGTTTGGGCAGCCCCGGCTCCGGGACCTTCACTCCTGGGGTTTTTGGGGTTCCCCTCAGGATTGGGGGATCTCTATGGGAATTGGGGTGTCCCCCCTGGATTTTGGGATCCCCCACTCCCTGTTTCCCCCCTGCCAGGCAGGTGAAATGTGTTTGGCAGCCCGGTCTCCGGGACTTCACTCCTGGGGTTTTGGGGTTCCCTCAGGATTGGGGGATCCCTATGGGAATTGGGGTGTCCCCCCTGTAATTTGGGATCCCCCACTCCCTGTTTCCCCTTTCCCAGGCAGGTGAACGTGTTTGGGCAGCCCCGGCTCCGGGCCTCCCTGCGGGACCTTCGCTCCCCCCGCCGCGCCCCCAAATCCTCCATCGAGGACGACCTGAAGCGCCTCATCCTCATGGACAGCGCCGGGCCCGAGCCAGACACCCCCCCCGTGAGCCACTGGGACCACCATCATTCCCACAGCTCCCACCATTCCCACAGCTCCCACAGCTCCCACCATCATTCCCACAGCTCCCACCATCATTCCCACAGCTCCCACCATTCCCACAGCTCCCACAGCTCCCACCATCATTCCCACAGCTCCCACAATAATTCCCACAGCTCCCACCATCATTCCCACAGCTCCCACCATCATTCCCACAGCTCCCACCATCATTCCCACAGCTCCCACAATAATTCCCACAGCTCCCACCATCATTCCCACAGCTCCCACCATCATTCCCACAGCTCCCACCATTCCCACAGGTCCCACCATCATTCCCACAGCTCCCACCATTCCCACAGGTCCCACAGTTCCCACCAGTCCCACAGCTCCCACAATAATTCCCACAACTCCCACCATTCCCACAGTTCCCACCATTCCCACAGTTCCCACCATTCCCACAGTTCCCACCATTCCCACAGGTCCCACAGTTCCCACAATAATTCCCACAGTTCCCACCATTCCCACAATTCCCACAGCTCCCACAATAATTCCCACAGCTCCCACAATAATTCCCACAGCTCCCACAATAGTTCCCACCAGTCCCACAATTCCCACCTGTCCCACCAATCCCACAGTTCCCACAATAATTCCCACAGTTCCCATAAGTCCCACCATAATTCCCACCAGTCCCACCATTCCCACAGTTCCCACAAGTCCCACAATAATTCCCACCATTCCCATTCCCACAATTCCCACCATACCCACCATTCCCATAACTCCCACCAGGTCCCACCATTCCCACAATAATTCCCACAGTTCCCACCAGTCCCACCAGTCCCACAGTTCCCACAATAATTCCCACAAGTCCCACAATAATTCCCACCATTCCCACAGTTCCCACAGTTCCCACAAGTCCCACAATAATTCCCACCATTCCCACAGTTCCCACAGTTCCCATAAGTCCCACAATAATTCCCACCAGTCCCACAACTCCTACCATTCCAGTCCCACCATTCCCACCAATCCCACAACTCCCACCATTCCCACCAATCCCACAACTCCCACCATTCCCACCAATCCCACCAGTCCCACAGTTCCAGGCTGTCCCCAGGGTGTCCCCCAAGTGTCCCTAAAATGTCCCCCGGGTGTCCCCAAAGTGTCCCCCGTCCCTAAAATGTCCCCAAGGTGTCCCCAAAGTGTCCCTGCAGTGTCCCCTGTCCCCAAAATGTCCCCAAACTGTCCCCAAAGTGTCCCTAAAATGTCCCCAAAGTGTCCCTGCAGTGTCCCCTGTCCCCAAAATGTCCCCAAAGTGTCCCCAGGGTGTCCCCCAAGTGTCCCCAAAGTGTCCCTGCAGTGTCCCCTGTCCCCAAAATGTCCCCAAAGTGTCCCCAGGGTGTCCCCCAAGTGTCCCCAAAGTGTCCCTGCAGTGTCCCCTGTCCCCAAAATGTCCCCAAAGTGTCCCCAGGGTGTCCCCCAAGTGTCCCCAAAGTGTCCCTGCAGTGTCCCCTGTCCCCAAAATGTCCCCAAAGTGTCCCCAGGGTGTCCCCCAAGTGTCCCCAAAGTGTCCCTGCAGTGTCCCCTGTCCCCAAAATGTCCCCAAAGTGTCCCCAGGGTGTCCCCCAAGT